CTGCTTTCCTACGTTTTTATTTTTTTTTGTTAATAATATTTCAAAATGACGTCACCCGATACTTGAGTAACCGATTGTACGTTTCTTTCAAAGAAATTGGAGATTAAGTCATCCTGATGCGAGAAAAGATAAATTTTATTGATATAGAGAGAGTAAAGAGAAGGGCGGAGTATAAAGATATACATATATATAAAGGAGAGAGAGAGAGAGAGAGAGAGAGAGAGAGAGAGAGAGAGAGAAAACCATGACCGAGAATACGCACATTAAACGCTCGAATACGTCGAGTTCCTCGAGAAATTTATGGATCGAATTTATCGCGGGCCGTTCGGGAAATTGAAAATGCCGCGCGAAAAGTGCCGCGATGTACTTAAAATCTCATTTATATTGGCCGTGCACACGTGTAACGCGTGAGAGTACATAAATTTGCGGCACGTTAGAACCTCGGAGATGGTTGGCGTAGCTGCCACGGGGATACATGATAATATGAGAAATAAAAAAAAAAGATACGCAGCATCCAGAAGCATCTACCTCAGGGTATCAGTCACGTAAGACGAGTATCCTCATAATATCACGTAATGACAAATATGAAAAATCATAGAGAGCGATTGTCTTAAGTTATTGGATAAATAATTAGAACGAAGAAGATACGGATACAGTAAGGAATAGAAGTACGCGTAGATAGCAAAGCAAGGATAGTTTTAATGGCGGCTTTACTACTCTAAGATTCTCTTGGGGTTCAGGTGCTCTTGAAGCCAATATCGTAAATCCACCATTGAGTCCAAAGAAAAATGGCCAACTGTCTTCTCTTTTCTCTGCCTCGGTTCTTTAGCAATACAAAAGTCGCCAAGCCATGTTTTACGAGCATTCACGTGTTGCGAAGGATTCGAATGTAAAACGATTAACAATCACAATAAGATTAAGTAGAATTAATTAAAAGGATAAGAAATGAGCTTGGGTTTTTTTGCCTGTTACGAGAAACCAATTAAATTAATACGAATAAGTCAGCTAAATGCATATATGTACATTAAACAGTCGATATACATTGATTTAACTAAAAGCAACGATATTTCACGCGATATACAAATTTGTATGATTTTCATAAAATCCAATTAGTCAAATTAAATTGTTGCCTAATCAATTAATCTCCGATGCACTGCATTAGCCAAAATTTCATAAATCCATACGATTTTAATGTGAAGCGCAGTAACGTGTACGCATGTAATTAACTGAAAATCATATCGTGTATTGATTTTGATAATTCAAACGTAATATCGCTGAAAAGCATCAAAAAAGCTTTCAGTCGATCTAACATGCGCAAATCATTTACGATAAGAAGAAATTCGCTGATAAGCCGATGGGTCCATTTTAAAGGTGACAACATAAAGACTGAAGCCATCGGTGTTAGGTAAAGTAACTTGAGGCTTTACGATCGCTTATGCGAATTTCGTATCAGTGCTAATTATAATGATTTTGACCTTCGCTTTGCTATCGTGCCTATTAATCATTGTAGCTGCTAAAGATACACTTATGCCTGGTTCAAAGAATTACGCAGGTACCTTCGGGTGTCGTTTATTGTCCGATATAAAAGACTCTATCGAAGCCGAGAAGTCCGCTGGCCAATAAATGGCCTTTGGGGTCGACGACCCTCGAGCAGGAAATTGTTTTCGGTCAAGCGGGAGCATTTATATGCCGTAAAAGGGCCGCATTGCGTTCGAGTCAAATGATCTATTAAACTTTTATCGTCTCCTCTCGAAAAGCGATGGACACCTACGCGATGGACTTTTCCATCTTACGCGTTATGCGCAATATACTATATACTTATAGTATGTCAGGCTCAAAAGGAAAAAAACTGATTCTCTTACGGTTTTCATATAGTAAGTCAACCTGCCAGTAGTCACAAAGTAGCTTTGACCTTATCAAATATATTGTTTATCATAAAATTACTAAACTGATTAAAAAACACGGTCGTAATTATTTATTTGAACATTATTACATGTGCGATTCATATATTTTTTAACTGATCGAATCATCGCTTTATAAGGGATAAATCTACTCACGCTTTCACGTTTTCTTACTAATTGATAAGCACTCGGACATTGATTAAATTAATGGTTTAGATATATATTCAATCGTGATAAAATCGCAAAGTCGATAAACCTGTGTGTCTTATGTTTATTTTTATCAGACTCAATTTCCTGGTAATATTACATATTGACTGACTACATTTACCAATCAACTTTCAGTATTCCTGTTTGATTAATGCATTAGGTGATATCTAAGACAAACACTTGTGCGCTATACACTTTTCAAGGAATTATTAAACGAAAACAATTGTATTCCAAAATACAATATACATAATGTTTTCTTGTTAAAAAAAATAATAATTGACATTTCGGTCTAATCAAATAGAAAAGTTTAGTCACATTTTCGATAAATTAACGAGTCGAAAACTTTTATCTAAATTCCCTCGTAATAAATTCGTCAATATTTACTGAACCAATTGACCACCGCAGTAGCAACGCTGGACTGTAAGAATCAAAGATCGCTGTTGACTCTTTCTTTATCCTTTAATGCATGTTCCGGTAAGTGCAAGATAGTGAATGCATGACGTACAGTTTTTTATCGTTAGCTCTTTCAATCTTTTCGATGTATTACTCTGTACCGCCGCATTATAGTATTTCAAGTCCTTCTTATCCTCAATTCTTAGGTTGTTCCAAACACGTTGTATGGTCCAAGTATTGGAAGATAAGCACATCTTTCGATTTCTTGCACTTTGTAAAAATGCTGTCATAAATGAAGAAGGTCGATGATCAATAGCACCAAGACTCCACGTCGAATGCGACGCCACCGCAGGAGCGTCGATCTAGAGCGATAACGCTACTATAGAAAAATTACCGGGTGGCTAATAAGTGGGCGTAGCCAAGGAGCCACGCAACAAAATTGTAATCTGCAGGCAAAGCGTGAGCCTGAGGAACTTGCCCAACCTGCACGCATCGCACATGCAGCCACATGCACTACGAGCCTCCACGTTCCCCACGTTCTCCAGGTTCTCCAGTTTCTCCAGTTTCTCCACACGCCATCAGCCCGTTTTATAATCACAGTCCCCCGTCCCGACCAAATTTCTACCCATTAATTCACCCAACACACTCACCGACCTGAGCAACGATTATATTTCGCTAACAATAATTCTTCTACCACGTAGAAGTTTTATGGGGAAAGAAAAAAAGAAAGAAAGACGACAAAAACCACGTAAATCATAGACGACACAAGCCGCGTACATTTCTGTCCATTTATTTAATAAGAACGTAACATTCCAAGCGGTTTCCAATTTGACACAGAATGGATTCCATTAGCATTCCCTTGATACGTTCCTTCGCCGAAATGACGTAAAACGTATAAAAGAAAAAAAAAGCAGCCAATGGAGAAAAAGGGACACAGCGAAGACGGGAACAGCCAAGCAGGAGCTGACTGCCACCGATAAGAAGTCTCGATAAGTTTTCATTCTCCTCTTTCCTTTTTTCCTCTCTTCTTCTCTTACTTTTTCTTTCGCTTTCTATTCATTCGTTCTTCTTTGCTCTCCACGAAAATGCAACATTAACCCGGTATCGTGGTAGTAATGTAAAACGTACAGCAAGAAGTAAAAGGAGCTGCTGAAGAGCAAAGCAAAGTAGATGAGAAGATGGAGGATGGATAGACGGACGTACAGAAAAGCAGACGGACTTTCATTCGAACGAAATGGAAAATTTAAGTGTCGCCTCTTTGATCAGATCTTCTTTTCCTATGCGCTTAAACTACTATGGGAACATCTATACCTATATATATTAGTATAGCCATACACACGGATGCAGCATCGATAAGATGAATCCCTCAGGGAATCTTTCCTCCTCCATCTCCTCCTTCTCCTCCCACTCATTGGAGTTTAAACTCAGATTTAACTCAGCCTCCAATGGGTGCATCTTTCTAGGAAATCAATCGATCCGAACCTGATCAACGTCCCAGCTAAGAATCTTACACGGTGGATTCTCTTGCGTGACCGCACTCCAATTTTATTCTCGAAATCACTCGCACCACGTGATCACTAATCCCACCGATAGATCCTCCGAAAGGATCCTCGGAAAAGAGATTTAGGATTTACTAAGAATTTTCCGCTTTCCAATAGTCCCACTAACTTCGTTTTTCATCAATAAATATATTTATTACAGCAGAACCTCGATTAACTGGCTGTGTGCCGTCCTTGAGGCGGGACTATTGTGAGTCACTATACTTAGGCCGAGAATAAAGTAAGCTCATTCTGGAATAGTCAATACCGTTCGAGCCACCTAATAAAAAATGATCAAATCATTGAGTTTAACTATACTTACACTTGAATTTAGGTGATAAAGCTAAGCCTTGAAGAATGTCAGTAGTTCCACTACTAATTCTCGTCCCCGATAATCTTTTATCTTTTTTATCGAGAACTCTCAATCCTCACACAAAATGCAATGAATACGTATCGAATTATCAGGAGTGATTCGAGTGCGGCGTAGTACGAGGTAAAACTGAGACATTTGACATAGCCATAGGATGCACAGGACACAGCTTATACTTTGAACTGTGAGCAATTCTGCCTATTGCGATCTATTGTTTTCTGCGTCGCCGTACACACTCGCAACAAAGCGCGCGCGTGCGAGCGAACCTTCAACTGGCAATACAAACGGCCTGTTAAGCCGTTACGGTTAAATTGCACCGAAGTGCATGGCCAGACTCGAAACGCCCGCTTACAGCCTTAGCCGTAGCCTGGGTACCTACTTGGCTGCCCGGAGACTGGATGCATCGAATCTCTCTCTCTCTCTCTCACTCACTCTCACTCCCCTCCCAAGCCGAGGATGGCTTAATGCATAGATGCACTCGCGGCCAACTGGAGAAGATTCACTGCGAGGACGACGGACACGTCGTGCAGCCAGGATTTACTCGGGAGTCTGGCTGATAACTCACGAGTAAACAGAGGCAAGGAGATCTCGTTAGTTTTTTCAAAGTGAATTTTTATTAGAACATAGAATAACAGTCACGTGTTTATATCTTTACAGATATCGGTCTTAATTAATCTTCAGCGCTTGCGGTGCAATTTGCCGAATCTGGCCAATCACACACTTCCAACTCGGCATTGAAGTGCAGTCCAGCGGGACAAGACGACAGGATTGGCCATCCGCCGGAACACGTGTAGAACAGGTTGCAGTTGGTGGGATGGGGTACGTGCGTTGCGTTTTCGGGATCCTGAGCCGGACAGTTCACGCCTTCCGGAATTTCGTCGTCGACGCTGAAGGCGATGACGACCAGACCCAAGAAGAAGAAGGCTGCGACAGCTGAAAGATAATGAAAAAAACAAGTACAGTGCTGGTGTGGTTTTACAAAATATAGTAATGACGTGTGAACTGAATTTTATTGCAGTGCATAGTTGCACTGGTGGTGCAATCTGGCGAATGGCTGATACACCGATTATTGCGAGACTGCAGGCAACACTTACCTTTCATGTTGATATAATGTGGGCTAAGTTCGTAGAGCAATCAGAAAATTTATTAACTCAATAATCCGCACGCTGAAACTCCGCTTCTTATATACTGGAATCTAATCAGAAATTAAGATCCTTCGCTGTTATCGTGAAGCATCGTCAGAAATTTGTCACTATCGCTATTGATAACACTGGTCGTGGCTCGTAGATGGGATAACGCGTTTCTTTCATTAAACGCACGCATGCTTTTTTGCTAGTTGCTGTAAATTCGTCATTTATTTTTGTTCAATATCATGAAAAAAGTGCATAAAGGAGTAAACGCGTGAGAGAGAAAGGAGGAGTCGATGGGGTTAAAGAGGCTAAAGAGGTTAAAGAGATTAAGGAGGAAGAGAGGGAGGTTAAAATTGAGGATCTGTGTATCAGCGTGAAGTCGTGTGTGTTGCGTGTGTGGGCACGTGTGGGAGAGGGCTTCCCTTGACACTCGGACAATACGCGAGGCTGTCGAGTTCGGTTCCTGGTTATGGCGGGTGCACAATGCCTATTGTCGCTGCCACCCTGTGGTCCCGTAGAACGATGTGTGCCTCTGCGACGCCTCGACGTATAACGGGTGTTCGGGGCTATTGCAGGGACCACGAGAGAGCTCATGAGTTCCCATAGAGAAGTACCACGTGGGAAAATACATTTATTTTGAAATATAGCAATATGTAAAGATATATATATATATATATATATATATATATATATATATATATATATACGTGTAGATCCCGATATTGGCAATCGTACAAAATTCTCGGAAAAATTTCAAAGAGATAATAAAAAAGGGAGTGAAGCGTGTGAGTTGGTGCTGACGTAATTCAAACGGGAGGAATTGGTCGCGGCTGTGTGGATTGTACCTTATGTCTCTCTATGGCTAAAATGGCGTAGCACGTTAATATCTCAATTTTCTAGGGTGACTTGGCTGCTGGGCATTTAGCAAAGGAGGTGGATCCACTCGCCATATTGGCACACACGCCGGCTGCGTTTTACGGCCGTGTTCAGCAATTTTGCATATTGAAGACTGGGACCTTCCTGGCTGCACCTCCTTCAGCCAGTCCCGTTTATTTTTCTTCGACTGTTTTGTTATTTGTTTTTATTTTATTTCTTTTTTTTTGTGCGATCAACGCGAGATTCTAGCCGGAAAGGATTCGTCAATTTTCTGGTACTATTTGGTATCTTCGATCTACCGATGGATGATTCGAAAATCAACGTGGCAGGATGGTGGCCGAAACAGAGCAAACGGTTATAATTGAATCGGCAGAGCGTGAAAAGTTCATTTTGACTAAATTCACAAATTCTCTACAACCTCCAGTGAGAATTTCATAGGGGCTGAAACGTTATCCCCACGAGGTCCCACGGGATTTCATGTCCAGTTGAATTCTGAGAGACGAGCAGCCTAAACTTATGAGCATGTTCTTCGAGATTGCTACAGAGACCTTGCGGAGGGTTAAGGTAACCTTGGAATTCAAGACCCAAGGGAAAAAGAATGAAGTTTCACCCGTTAAGATGCTCCTGAAACCGCTTTTCACGTCACGGTATTAAAGTCTAAAATAAACTCAGAGATAAGCAGAGGAATCTGAGGAACCGAAGGGGAGGTAAAAGATAGAAGAAGGAAAGGTCGAAGATAAAGGACACGATAGAAGGGCCAAGTCGAATAAGGGTTCCAAGAGGTTGAAGGGTGACAAATATAAGGGAGAAAAATAACGAAGGAGATGATGTGGCGTTGTCGTTGAGCCGAGCTGCTCTTGGGGAAGCTTTACGGTCTTTTGTTTGACTTGCTACGTCGCCCGCGGCTCCGTAGCTCCGTAGCTCCGTAGCTCCGTGGCAATAACCACAATACTGAGAAAGGGGCATGGGATACTATAGGGCCGGAGATTGGTGGAAGGTAAAAGGTTAATTGAACGAGAACGTCGACCAGCTACTAATTTTGGCTAGAGACCCGGCAGAATCGACTCAAACATAAATCCTCCTATACCGACACGCTTCCCCAATTCACACGTCCCCATCCCAACCCTTCCCCACCAACATCCTCTTAATCTCATCCTTTTGCTCTTGAAATCTTGAACCCTTCTTCTTAAATTCCTTCGGTCCAAGGCCCCCCTTGCTTCCTTGCTTTACTTTTTGAATTAAAAAAATCATGTTTCAAAAGAATGAAAGAAAAGCTAGAGGACACCGTTGGAAATCCTTGGAGACGTCTTGTGGTCCGACAAACGGAAAGTGAACGAGTCCTGGGGGAGGACACGACTCCAGGAGTCTGAGAGCTCAGGACACCCATGGGATAGAGAATCGCGCTTGCCAAAGCGCAGAAAGTTCCTGACCTGACCACTACCCTCTAGCCACTCATCAGCTATTTATGAGCCGTCCTGGCGCAATATATATCCTATACAACGACTATATTAAGAGTCTCCTGAAGTCCCTGCAAAGTCCCAAAGTCCTCTCGTTCGTTCTGACGTTTTGCTAAACTCCCAATTATCATTTATTCATTTATGCAAAGGGAAATGAAGATTTTCTTTCTAAACGTCACACCTTACATCGTGACGTAGCTCACAGTTCCTGATATGACATCCCCCACTAAGAGCAACCAGCAGCCTCGAGGATCATCGTTAGGTATTTTACGAAAGATCGAGTTATAAATTTTACCGAAGTAATTTCGAAACTCCCTTCCAAGATGAGGACCACGAGAGAAAAATGGCGAAGTTACAAGAGAGGACGGAAAACGTTGGACAGTGTAGGAGAAGATGGAGAAAGTAGATGGCAGAATCCTGAGGAACCTCTAGCCATCATCTTCCACGTTCAGAGTTCAGCTTACTAGACATCAAAGAGATCCATTAATATGATTATGAAAAGATGCATCCTTCATAATACAGAAGGACCAACCAAGAGAGTAAGGATCCTGTACCAGCACTCCGCATCCGATGCTGCGTCGCCTTTCTCAATGGCGTCCTTCCTGTGTTCAAAGTAGATCATCCACGCGAAGGTATCCTTACAGCAGACCTACCTCAATTTTCCTCCTAGAGCATTCATCCCACAAGTAGAAGCCATTAAGCCCATACACACAGCCACCCGGGCATACCTGCTACCCAGCTCCCTCGCGCTAATTCTGGACATAAGGGATGAAATTTCTTGAGATAAAAAAGGGGGACATACGTATGAGCCAAAAGTCCGAACTGATGAACACGTGCCGAATGAATTAGTGAGAATCCAGGGTTTCGCGATCCCCTGGGGCTAGCAGGAAACTTTCATGAGGATCGAGTTCGGCATGTGAAAGCCTCTCCTTGAATACGTGTAGCTGGACCAGTCGATGCAAGGGATAAACGTGTAAACGAATCAAGCCGAGGAACTCGGTAACGCATTTAAGTTCGAGTTACCAGGTCAGACTCGAAGGGGCGTTCGGTATAGGATCTTTTTCAAAGATTGGTGACTCTGGCATGTTTTTATGTTTTTATGTTTTTATGTTTTTATGTTTTTATGTTTTTATGTTTTTATGGGACGTGTCTTCCTGACGATCAGCCAGCTGCACAGCGAACCGTGACATCGATGGAGAGAATAAAAGATCCAGGAAGCTGCAGGCTACCTATATCTGGTTGCCCATACTATATTTCTCCGAGCTATCTATACCCGTATCCCGGTTTTTATTGAATAATTAAAAACGTCACTGGCAGAGACCGCCATTCGGAGTCTCCCCCACACTCGCTTGCTACCCTCCCGAACCAGCATCCCTCCGCCGGGTTGACGGCACTCGAGTGGGAACCCCCTTGAAATTTGCATAGCTGCTTCACGATGGGAGCTTCCTTGAAATATGGGGTTTTATTATTTTGCGAAGTACTTTCCTGTTAAACGGGCACGGGACTGAATGGAGATGGGTATAGGCGTAGCGTGGGAACAGGAGTGCGAGTCGTGAAAGAGAGTCGAGTGGAGACGAAGAAGGCAATTTGTTCTAAAAGCCATATGTCTTCTGTTTCGAACGTGCGACAAAACAGATGATAAATTCCTCCGTTGCAAACCCGGCTGCACTTTTAAAATTCCAAGATAGCCAAATTCCAATAGCCAATGCGAAAATGCTGCTGCTTTGGATAGCCTTAAAAAAAACCATTGTCGATCTACATTTCTTTTTACGGCTGTTAGTATTTTTTATTGGATCCCTAAAAGGCTTATTTTATTACCAGGACTGTGTCGTATTCTTTATTCGAAGAATAAAAGCGAATTGGAAGGATCGATAACCAAGCAACAACTGTTGCTCGTTATCGGCTTACGGAGAGCAAACAACCGTTTTTATTCTTTGCATTGTGACTTTTCATATTTCGCCACTTCTCCCACCCTGCAACAACTTGTCGGCTAACCACGAACGACACACTTTCTCGGAGTCTAGAAAAATGGAAGGATCGAAACACGTGCTCCTGCCAATATGCAACATATTGGCTGACCAATACTACAAATAAAGCCTACCGTTCCTGCCGCCTATATAAAACAGTCTTTTGATAAAGCGATGGTCAGGGGACATGACGTTTATCCTATATCCTATACTATGTCCCCTTGTCAATATGGGGAATCCAAAAAAAAAACCCATAGCCACCCCTTCAACAGTCTCCCTGCATCTGTTCCCCTCGGGAAGGACAAGCGTCCAACTGTCGGTGAAATGTCAAAAAAAAAAGTAAAAGCAAAGGGAAGACGAGCTCGTAGGAAAGAAGTTGACTGCTGTCCGAAGTGAGCTAAAGTTGTGAATCACAAGTCGTGAGTCGCAAATGGGCAAAATTCGGAAGGGATAACTTCGCTGGGGAATGATCCAAGACGCATGGGACTTGGCTTGGCTTTGGCGAGGTGGGAAACACTCGAGGAACTCGTAAATCAACGAGTTCACTGGCGGTTGGTACAGGTACAGCCGGTGCAATGATAATTTAACGATGTCATCCAACAACCTGAAGTTGCAGCCAGTGGGTTCGTTCCATGAGCCCAAACGAGTACAAATCTCCTCTAGGCGGCCTAGATGCCTCTGCCGTCTCGGAGGTGTTCCACTGATAATGTAAACTAATCTTCCAGAAGACGGTGGAGGCATCCAAGCTCAGTTGCACAGGATCTT